CCATAAACCTGCAGAGTCAGGAAAAGATACAGCTGTAAATGACAAATCTTGGCAGCTAGGCCAAACTCTTCTGTTCACAGCATGCTCCTTTGGTCACATATGTGTTTTTGTGTGTGTGTGTGTTTAATAGTGCAATACAATGATGGTGAGTGCTGTGCATTTGTGTGGTTCATAACAAGCTACAGTGTGTTCTGCCAAAAACAGGTAGATGCATGCAAAAGCAAAATAAACTCAGGAAGCATTAATAACATCTCTGGCACAGGTCGGAAAACTTAATGCTTCCAACATTTGCAACAGTCTCCGCTGAAATGACTAATTCTTCAGAGGGAGAAAAGGCTACAGCAAGATCATGTCCACTTTGCTTCAGAGCAAACACTTCATGTAGTATTCAAAGTGCAAAATTCAGAAATATCTTTATCAGTCTGTCAGTTAAGTACTAAATGACTTAAGCAACCGGTGAGAGTTCAGGTTATGGTGCTCTGTCAGTGTGGTTTGCGCAACACAACGTGTTTAGCAGTTGGCTGTTGCCGGCTGATGCAACAATGAGTGTTGGAAGTAGACATTTTGTGAAATTACTCAAAAAAGCTCAAGCTTATGTAAAAAATGTGATAGTCCAGTTTGTTAGGGTTTTAAAAGCCAGTCACAAAGCAGAAAGAATTAACTATGTTTTTCTGCATTTTAAAAAATTACAGTGTCACAGTATATGCTAAAAACAAATGTATTCTGGTTGCCAAAGGTTTTATACATCAAATCAGATTATCACTTTCAACACACAAAAAGAGAAAGAGAGTTATGTGTTTGAACCTCCTGGTTGCTTTGACCCCTCTCAGTGGAGTTTGCATGTTTTCCCCGTTCATGTGTGGTGTTTTTTCAAGAATAGCCCACTTTCAAAGAAACTCACAAGTCCAAACACCTTCATGATTGTCAAACTGATGATTCCAACTTGGTGAAAAGAATGGGCCTGTATGGCTGCCTGCCAGTGAAAGCCCCTGAAAAGACAAATAGTCCTGTGCTTCATCAAATATAAACTGTGAGGCTTCAGTTCCCCTCAGCCTCTGACAGGTGACATATTTTGTGGTCTGCATTTCCTAAAAGGGCTTGTTTTTCTGAAAAATACAAAATCAAAAGAAGGGATGACAGCCCATGTTGCAGTTCAAAAGATTTCTTAACAAAAGGTGATCATGGAGTCTGACAGAAGCAGAGTCTCTCAGAATTAGAGATGAACAATGGATCACAAATCTGAATGAAATGTGTATACAAATTTCAAGAATTTCTATCTTTGAATATGCGTTTAACAATCATGAGACTCTTCTGTGCACTTCCAAAAATCTAAATGGACGTCTGTGACCTTTACACCCTCAGGTACCAAGTATTAAAGACTCTGATTATGTCATGAAAATGTGTGAATGGAATTGGGGAATGCTCAGAAATGATTGTCTCTGACAGTTCACTATGTCATCTACAAATGTAAGTCAAAACTATTATGCAAAAAAGAAGGCATGTATGAAAATGATCCAGAAATACTGTCAGCCTCTGTGGGCCAAGATGCATCGTTTTTCTAGAGGATGTTTTTCAGAGAATTCATTGTATTTATGTGGATTTTATTGTGTTTAGATCTTTCTAAAGTAGAAGAGTTTAAGTGGTGGAGTCGTTTTTCACCAAATAAAACTTTGCTCATCATAAAGCGCAAATCATAACAATAGACTGTTTGAGCAGCTATAAACCTATGTCAGACAAGGTTGGGACAACGTTCCCCTCCCAAATATCCAGCAACTGGTCTCCTCAGTTCCCAGACACAGTTGTCCAAAAAAGATTGGATGCCACAGTGGTAAGCATGACTCTGCCTCACCTATTTTGAGACATCTTTTTCTGCCATCAAGTTCAAGATGAGCCTATATTTTCATGAAAAAGTGAAAGGTCACCAATTTTTTTGTGAGTAAAATATTTTTCATTGACATCTAATAAATCACAGTGTGTATTTTACAATGGTTCCCTTTAAAAAAAAAGAAAAAAGAAAAAGAAAGGATAGCTCTGGGTTTGCTTTATTTCAGAGTTTCTCAGTGTTTTAAACACTGGAGATCATCAGTCTATTAGAAGCATTTCTCATTAGCAGTACAGAAGCCATCAAGTCCAGAGTGGTTTGTTTTAGATCATATATCAATGCCGTGTGCTCGGTGTGGTGGTGACTGTCATGTTCATTAAGTGTAATGTTTACAGTAAGCTGAGGAGCCCACTTGGGAAGTCAGCAGATGAATGTGAGGGGCGCTGTAAAGGCCTTTAATCATTCTGATCGTCATATACACAGTGGGTCATCATCATATTGATTTCTATTACAGAGATAAAGATTATTTAGAAGGCTTCTGGGCATTGTTTTTTTTAATGAATAACAGTGGCTTATCATCCTGCAACAGCTTTACATGATATATTTTCTTTGTGCATATTTCTATATACACTGCTGATATGAGCATCACTCAGTTTAAATTTGGAGTCTGGTGCCACCATGAGGACGTTTACAGTATGTATACTGACTGTCAGGCACAATTTTATATTCAAAGTGATAAGATGGAGTGAATAGGTGCATCACCTATTATCGTTTTAAAAACTTCTCATGAGCTGAGAATGTGCAGTGCTAGTTGAAAAACTGTCTGCACGAGACTTTCCCCAAATGTGTGTGTGTTGATATGAGTCAACAGGTAAGTCTGCACGCTAATGACTGAGTGAGGAATAACATCTCCTGATTCCAGTAAATCATCGCTCTGTAGCCAAGCTCAGGCTTCATGTGGTCAATGACTAACAAAGATCAAAAACTTTCCCTAAAAACTTTTTCTGAAACTGACTTTAACAGAAAAATAACACACATATGGAGCTCACCTCCTCTATGCGTCACATTACTTACTCTGCACTTTCCACCGATTTGATGAGTGGTCACACACAGCAGATTTTTTTTACAAGAACATATAGTGAAATCACTCCTATTGCACGTGAAAGAAAACATATAAAACTGAACACAGAAAGTAAAAGGTGGCTGAATCTTTGAAGTCTTTAAAATTAAGAAATCCAACCACCTCTACTGTATATTTTTTTCTCTTTTTTGCCACTTAATCTTAACCCAATTTTTTAATTGTTTTATTTTTGTTGGTATTGGTTTTGATGATAAACATCCCAAATACAGTGAACCAATTATACAGATATACCATACACCATTTGTACTGCCTCATGTTTAAAATGCATTTTTTACATATTGTTTTGCAGTTATGTGATCGAGTCTCAGGTGTTAAAAAAATGGAATCAAGTCAACTGTAGCATTACTAGGGTACCCTGTAAATCTTCTTAATCCCAAAAAAAATCAAGATTAACTAGGCAATAAATGTGAATCACTGTCATAATAAGCAGAAATTCATGGTAAGTGGTCGATGAGTGGGATTGTGATGGCTGTGGGCTGTAATCTGACAGGACACCACTGTTCATTTGCAGCAGCAGCAGCTGTTTGCAGTTATGGTGTATGTGATTATACTGTTAACACGTCTGCAAACTGTAAAACATTTCTGTCATCTAGACAAAAAAATGAAAAAGAAAGTTCGCTCAACACAATACAGATCCATTTGGCAAGGACGCCACTAAAGAAAGAAAAATAAAAAAGCAAAAAAAAATATTTTATTTAGGCACACTTGCATTCATAAAATGTTCCCATATGGCATTTCATACCCCCTTGCAAAAAAATCCCATTAGAGTTTCTTTTGGCTTTGCAGTTAAATCAACTTCACATTCATTCATTAATAAAACACTCACTCTTTCCCTTGCTTTCATTTCCCACCTCCTTCCCGGGTATCTGAATGACTGCAGAATTTGTTTAAACCTTCACAGCCCATCAGTAATAGTAAGATCTCCTCCACTCACTCACCACTTAAATAAACTGTATATTTCTAGAATAAATTATGCATAAGTGCCAACGTTTTGCCCTGACAGTTACTTTTCTTCCTTCAACAAATCGTCTCTGAGAGGCTGAACGTCTTGACCCCGACACATGAGAAGGAATTGAACAAGTTTAAGAAGTGTTTTCCAAAAAGTACGATCATGCTTGTCTACTGGCACAATTGACATACTTTGTCTGGGATGGCTGGTTTAAACCCCTTGTCTTCTTTTTTACAGTTCTGTTTGTACCTCCTTGTGTTTCTGTCTGATGATGCATTCTTTTAACCGTCAAATGTTCTCTGATTCCTTTTTACAACAACATCCTCATGCTGGAAAGAAAACAATGAAACTTAAAAAAGTATTAAAACAAATTTGATCAAAGAATTCAAACATATTTGTATCTTAGTTTTTTTTGTTTGTATGTGTGAATAACTAAAGAATTTAAAAATACATTCTACCACATGTCAACAGAGGGCAGTATTAGTAGTCAAAATTGTTTTTTGTTTGTTTGTTCCAAATAAATTAAAAATACAAATTGAAATGCATGTAAGATGTATTTTTCTTAATTTACCTGTTTTCATTTCTATTGTTTTGGTATGTTTAAGGGTGACAGTTTGGCCTATCCCAGCTGTAATTGGAACTAGAGGATAGTTGAGGCTTGTCTAACTTCCTGTCACTCCAACTCTCAGCAACCAGACTCCTGTGTGCATGTGTGTGTCTGCATGATGCGCCAAACGTGAAATCTGTATGATTTCAGAAAAAATAGCAACCTAAATAGTTATTGACCATTTTAACTTTCTGCTAAAACTTAATAATGGGCTTACAAGTCATAAATGAAAAAGTGAAGATGAATACCCCACTTCTGGAAGTATGTTGGTCTAAACTTTCTTTAATTTAGTATAATTCACGCTGTTGAAGAAAGTATTCTTCGTTGTTGATTTCACTGTGAATACAGAAATCAGTAATTATGGTATTTATTTAAGAGAAAGAGTGTGAACACAGTTAAGGCCATTCTGTGGCAGGTAACACTCTGGTGAGTGATTCCGCATCTTGTGAATAGACGCTCTTTGGGACGGAGCGCGCCTGCAAAATTAATTCCACAGTGACGTCATTTCCGTAAAGTGCTCCCGTTGGCTTCGTTAAACAGAAGGTAGAGAATTATTAACGCAGAGTGAGGGCTAACGCCGTTATAGTGAATACTCACCTTGAGATGGTTTTCAGATATCTTTAATTAACAGCGACCCTCTGGTTTGTTTTCTTTGGGCTGACAAAAGGTTTACTAGTCTCTTCTTGCCGCGCAAGAACTGGGATGCGCTGCCGTTAGCCTGTTAGCTTTCGCGTTAGCTTCCTGAAGAGCGCTGTATTTACGACGGGACCAAGCACACCGTAAGTCAGGTCGTCGTTCAACGACTGCATCATTTTTAAAACACATTCATTTATTGAGTTTTTAAAGACTGTGGTGACGCTGTTGTCAAGCAACTCAGTTCACACGTTGAGCTCACCGTTGCTACTTCTTTATCGTAAACAGTTGTATCCGTGGGCTGGAAAAAGGCCTTTTTATGGTAGGAAATTTACTAGAATTCAAGACTGTTCAACTTAATATAACATGTCCATCAAAAAGCTGTCATTGGGTGTCGTCGCGCTGAAATGACGGATCAGAACAGGACAGAATTCACCTGATAAAGCAAGCATTGTGTGGGAACTGTGCACCTGTGCAGGTGCACCTGTCACGGCTCACAGCTGTCTCCAAACCCGACGATTATGGTCCTTTAAACAGGACGCAAAGTGAAGCCATTCATTATGTTGTTTGACCATAGTAAGTGTACGAGACTCCAATGTATATTTCTGCTATGACCGGTTGTTTGTGGGCATGAATAAATGTTTTCCTCTCCCACCACAATCTCAGTCAGGCTTGCATGACATGCCCGAGGCCACATTTTATCTATTAAAACCATCAGTTAACTCGAAGACGAGGTCCTGTCATGTTTTTGACTCTGTAAAGTCAATAATATTATTATTACATTTTAACATTTCATGGAACTCTAACACAGGTGTTGTGAGACATCTTAATCTTAATTTTTTTGGACAATGTTGAGAAATGGATTCACAATTCCTGCAAGTAACGACTAAAGTCAACAGGGAAGTCATAAAACGAACTGGGCATGGCCAAGTGTACATCCACGGTGTAAAAAAAAAAGGTTAAAGCCTATGTAAACATCTAGTGGGCGTACCTGTCTTCAGACATCTGTGTTATAGGTGACGGAGCAAACTCCCAGAAACCTGCTGAACCTGGTGGCAAATGTAACGTCACCATAATCTGATCTCTAATGTTCCTTCTACCCAGTTCAAACTGGCTGTGCAGTCAAGGAAAACTTTCAGAATATCAAAGAATGATATAACTCTACAGCATTGAAGCAAGAAGGAAATACAAAATCTAAAGGAAAGCTAATAATCTGCAAATAAATTGTTTGTTCTTTTTTCTTTGCTTGTTTGACCAATTCGCCTCTTGGTCGATATCTTACATCTGGAGAATACTCGCTGTAAGTATCTGTGTCAGAGAATATTCTCCCCTAAAGATCTTTGATTCCAGCCCCCTTTCAGCCATGTTATATCTAGCATCTTCTATGCTGATGAAGCTGAACAAATGCTGAAAGAAACCCTTTTAACGGCATTATATTTAAAAAATGAAGATGCTAAAATCTAACGCACTAAAAGACTAACGCACCCAGAAATGCACACTGGAATCAAATCGCTCATGCAATTATACTGTCAAATAGACCTGTGATTTGGCACTTTTCAAAGTTTAGAATTCCCACCAAAATTACTGTCATTCCTACAAATGCACCCTTTTCTTTTGCTTTGTCAGATGTCTAAATATGTCAGAAACTGGCTGAAAATCAACTTTTTAAGACATTGCGTTAATGCTATGTTTCACTGTCTCGTTGCTCTTGATTAGACTCAGTGTAGCAAATAGTTTCCAGGATTACATAGATGGGAACATAACACTGCAAAGAGTTTCGATAGATAGATAGATAGATAGATAGATAGATAGATAGATAGATAGATAGATAGATAGATAGATAGATAGATAGATAGATAGATAGATAGATAGATAGGTTTATTTTAGAGAACTAATGTGTATATGTAGTCTGTCAGTGTAACAAGACACAGTTGATGTGAATATGTTACTGTCTTTATCTTGCCATCATTTTATGGAGTTCATGTAACATGCTGTCTGCTACTTGAGCCTCAGAATGGAGTGGCCTCTTCAACACACAGCTCATTGTAGTGGAGGTTCTTTGATTGTTTTTATGCGTGTGCATTCATAGGTGGGTTGTTTTTATTCCGGGCAGCGACCTTGCTCTTTGAAAACCACCTCTGTGCTTGTTGGCGATAATTATATTCCCATCTGCACAATGACTTGGCTGATTTGACTAAGCTCTTTGGTGTCTCCTCTTCCAATCAACATTCAGGCCTCACTGCGTCTCTCATTTTACTCTAACCCCGTTGTTTTCAGCATCCACACCGTCTCTCTTCTCCTCTCGTCTGACAGAGACGGTGCATTATGACGGACAGCATCATGAGTAAAGCCGCTACAATGGAGATTCCTATTAACAGTAATGGAGACACAGGAACACTACCAGAAGATGACAGCCTTGAACAGGTGGGTCACAGTTCTGGTATGAGTCGACGGATGACTGCGTGGACACTTTGAGACCACCCTTTTTAGTTTTTTACCTTTAAAACCATTTGCGTTTCTGAGACAATGGGCTGGTTCGCTCACATCTTAAGCTAGTAAAACCCCCCTCCACACTCAAAAACCAAACTGCAGCAAACAGAGTTGTTTATTTATATTTTGTCATCAATTGATCTTCTTTTTCTGTCTTATGATACAGACAAAAAGTCCTCATTCTGAATATTCGTTTGACCTTTGTTAGTATTCTGCTGTTGGAAAACAGGAGGATTGTTGCACATTTCTGCAGCATTGATGATGATGTTTTCTGTGGGGGTTGCCCCAAGTGGTGAAACTGTTGCCATGGTAATTCATCTTCCAATTATTATTTGAATGCTGGGGCCTTTTTATAAGTTTAAGCTTTGTATCTGTGTCCATGGCTTAAAATTCAAGAAGGAAAATAAGTTATATAAAATTTGACCAGTCATTATCGTTAATGGTTCCTATCTGGCAGACATCTTATCATAGTGCCTCACCGCTCACTCCGATCAGCTTGGAGGCTAGGACGGCGTTCTGTGAACAGAAAAAAAGTCAGCCTACGTTGTAACAACTACGATATACAGATGCCGAAAAGGGAGGTGTTTGGATACAGGCTATAGTTTCAGTATTTTTGAGGACCAGCAACACATTTCTGACCATCAGGCAGTCCCACAGACTGAAAGTTAAGCATTTTTGATAGATTGACCTGAACACCACAAAGGTAACCTTTTTTTAGTATTATCTCTCCTCAGGTAAAAGACCATAAGCATCTTATGTCATCAAGTGTTATTGCTTGTTTAATCCTGTGGTTTTAGGTTGTGGCAAAATGTATTGTCTCTCACTCTTTCAACTTAGCGACTGGTAGTGCTCAAGGCTGTCACATGGTTTATGTTCTTTTCCATTTCACACCATACTTTGCCACCCATGTGCGGTGCAGTTTAGAAGTCAATCCCCTCCAAAAAGATTATGCAGTTGTCAGCCTCAAATACTTCAGTGGCTGCTTAAAGACTCTCATTCTTGACTTACAGTTCCCTCCAGTAGTATCCATCCAATATGATGTTACATTATTTCTCTGAACTTGTCTTTGTACTCTGCCAAAAATCGGTGTTTATTGTATAGCATGCTTATCATTACCTTTAATCCTACAGGGAGATCGGATAATAAGGTTAACCATTCTTCTTGGAAGTCTTAGCAGCAGTCTTAGCAGCTCATGTGACCTTGTAGGTCTGCTCTCAAGAATGTCTCCAGAGTAGCAAGACCAGTACCAGGTGTTGAACTTAAATGCTAGCTTTTCAAATATTTGTCCCTACAGGGAGATTGAATCAAACCAAAAGCCTTGTGATGACACCATTAAAGTCTAAAACCTTTTTTTCCCCACCAGTGTAGGGGTTTAACACACAGTTCATCCCCTTCATCTGCAGTATCTTGGCTGCAGAAGGAAAGGCCAGTGTAGTTTAAAGTAGGTTGTTCATTTTCCTGCATCTCAAGACACACCTCATTAGACAAACAGACTGAAGATCCTGGAAGAACAAGTGCCTTTTTATTTTGTTTGCTCACCAAACCGCATTTGCTCAAGTAGTTAAAAACAGGGGGGGGTTCCTTCTTAGCAGCCATTGTGGTGAAAGAGCCATTTGGTGTGGCTACATCATTTTAATGTGTTTTATGTATGAGAAGTGTTCAGCACTGTTTAGTTCTGGATATTAACCAGTTGTCATAGCAACTCTGCAATTAATCTGAAACTGGCAGTGCTTTGTCCTTGGGTGACAGCCATCAGATTGATATCTGCTGTGCTGCGCTCAGTTTAAAGCTCTAGCTGTCCATATTGGTCATGCTAATAGAGTTGAAGACTGGGAGCAGAAATCGTCTTTTCCAAAGATGTTGCTCTTTACATGAATGGAAAAGAAAAAGCATCTGTCAGTTAGATTTTGACAGAGATGGACTGATTGCCTGTAGCACCCTGGCAAAAATGAACAAAGGCAGTAGAGTGACTCATTGTGTCTACATTTTAAAGAGCTTTGCAGTTCAGTTTTTATGAATCGTGCTCATGAATGCCTAAGTCAGAAATGTACTGCTCAGGTGTATTGCTGAGATTGTAAAGTGGGTCAGTTATATGAGAAAGCGATTTGTCACTTTTTGTCATCTTTGCTACATCCTTCATATCAAAGTTTTTTATTATTATTATTTTTGGAACAGAGGCGTTGTTGCAAAGTGTGCGTCAGCTTTCTCCCACGTTGAACAGATGCCAGAACACAAAGCTGATCTGCAAAGAGACACTGATAGAATTAAGAAAAAAGGTTGTTAAAACTGTCATTTTTCATTTACTCAAAATCTTTTTTGGCTGATGATGTACTATCTTTGCATGTTTGTCCTTATTTGTTCTCCATCGCAGATCAGAGTAATGCACAATTTTTTTTTACTGGAGCCTGAATTAATGTACCATTCCTCTGATTGTGTTTATGATCTGTTTAAAAGGCTTAATATCCAATAGGTAACTCGTAGTGCAGGTAAAAGGTGCTTATTGAGACAAGATCGTCACGTATCAAGACTCATCAATCAAACCAATGCTAAGCTAGTAAACAGCTGTCATTGCAACAACAGCTTTTAAAAAAAGATCCCAGACTCAGATGTTGCAGATGTTGAACGGGTTGAACCCGCTGGTGGACCCGTCCTGCTGGCTGCGGGCCCTAAACATGGGATTGGGTCAATTACTTGAGGTTTGCTTATCCCTTAAGTATTTGAATTCCTTTTCTCCTCATTATTTCTCAACATTTTAAGCAGAAAGATAAGAGCAGAAAGCGAGCCTTTTGTCAGATGCTACATGGTCGGCTGGTTTGAGTCGGATGGATCACACTGTACAGTCACACACACACAACTGAGTGCCGTTTGACCTGTGCATTTAATTGGACTACTCTTCTTAACCCATTATGCTCAGGACCAAAATCCTAAAAAAAATACAGTATGTCCAATGCCAGGATATTTAAGACCACTTCCCTGTTCTCACATTTCCATGGAATGTGTAGCTGATTTTACTGCTCATAATCAATGGTCATTATTTCTCAGATGATGCTGCAGTTTTAAAAAGTGTTATCGAAGCACTGTGACGTTTTAAGCATGTGTGGTTGCATGTGCATCTTGTCATATTGCATGTTTTATGCATTTCTTTATTATTTTTTCCATTTGAATGTGAATTTCATGCTCAACGTTTGAATCAATGTGTTGATCATTTTTACTGTTCTGTATTGTCATTTTACAGTGATGAAATAATAGAGATTGCAAACCTTTAAAAAGCTAACATTTCAATGTCTGAAACTGAGACGTTCAAATTGAGAGGTTCAAACAGGAGCCTTCCAAATGATGACTCTGACCTGCTGTTAATCAGTCATCACTGCTCTCCATTTTGTATGTCTGTTGAACCTTTCTGTTTCATGATTTGAGTCATGGATTTTTTTTTTCTTTTTGTCCCTTTTGCCTTTTTCTTTCTTTTTCTGTTGTTTTGTTTGTGGACCCCCACCCTTCCATCTCTGTGCAGGCTGCAAAGCTTCAGTGGAGCTTAGATGAGAAGGTAGGGAGCTCCAGAGGCACCAGGGTGAGCAGGCAATTTGTATCTATGTGTGTGGTTTTGGTGTGCAGTACTGCTCATTTCACAGATTGTATCTGGCAAACCTCTTTGCATCTTGCGCTAACCAAATTCCTGAAAAAAACATCTCTACAAACTTCTCAGATGAGTCTTTTGAGAGATCTCCCAATTAAATTGTGTTCACAAATCTTAAAACTAATACTTTCTCATAACAGCATCCAATTATTGTTAGATTCAAAGTTCTGTGTGTTGTACTGTGTGGACTAATGTAGAATTTGTGTTTGTGCAGTTAATTGATGTCTTGAGTGTGATCCCTTACACTTCTAGTAGTTTAGACTGATGGAAACAACCCAACATGAAGTCCTACTCATGCTGTATTGACTCTGTCCATTTGCTTCCTATCTGCTCTGAGGTCTCACTCAATGTTTCACTTAATCTAAAGTAATTCTAGTCCTGAAAGTACAAAGATGCCCCGCATGACTGCAGGTCATTCTAGACTAACAGATATGTCAAATCAAAGACTTGAGACAAATGGCCTCTGGCATCGCAGATCACATGGGTTTGTGATATCCCTCCCTTTTGGTAGCTTCAGACATGCTTCTCTCTATGTTGTGTGTTTACAGAAAGGAAATGACTACTTCCCTTTTTTCTCATGTCCTTATCAAGCACTTGCTGCATTCTGAGCCTTCCTTTCGACATGAGTTGCGTAGTAACAGACAGCAATATGTGCCTGCCTGTGGTCAGGAGAAACCTTTTTAGTTACCAACAGGGACGAAAACAGCCTAAGCTAAGAGTATATAAATGTATTATCCTCAGACCCCAAATTACCAAAAAAAGGCATTTATGACATTAGAAGCTTTGGTAATTCTGTTTTAACAGCTCCAGCGTACTCAGTTTCTGTCCTTTTAGGAATGTTTCTGAAGAAAAAATACTATCTTTTGAGATGTTTTTAAGACAAGTCGGGTGATGGATAAACTCTACCCTTCCTAACATGCCTGAAAACACATTTCTATTAATGAAAATGCTTCAACAAGCCTTCATTATTTCCACTCTCAACAGACTCGGGTTTAGTTTTTTTGTTGTTGTTGGTTTTGTTTTAGTGGTCCTTAATGGCTGTCATCATAGATAAATAATACCAGAAAATGTAAACCTATATTCACAGTAACACATTAATACGAGTGTATCTTAGGTCAATCCAGGGTGGGTCAGGAGGCATTTAATTCATTTGTGGGGTTTTTCTCCACATGCTTTAGTTGTCCCTTTCTGCTTCCTGTCCTTCCTAATATAACAATGTCTGTCCCTCTGGTGACCTGCCATGCTCTCTGTGCATACTAAGGTCATAATCTCTCTGTATATCCTCTTCTCTACCCACCCCAAACTCAAAACCCTCGTCCCCTTTGGTGCATTCTTTCCACTTATGAACTTTGCAGGACCTACAGCAGGTGATGGTATCTGGTCCCAATCTGAATGAGACTAGCATTGTTTCTGGAGGCTATGGAGGAACGGCAGAAGAAATTATCCCCACCAGCTCTATCAAAGGTATAATCATCCTCTTTCTCCTTTAATTAAAAAAAATGTAAACATTAGTGATGTGTTTATATGCTCTGTCTATGAAAACATGCTTTAACGTGTATAAATGCAATGAAAGCTGCTTGAATAATGCCATAAGAAACTGATCACTAAAATAAGGGAATATCAAAGATTTTTCTTTTCTTTTGAGGGTTGTGACACAAAAGCAAAATTCAGATAACTAAAATGAAATCTTGGTGAACTGATGACGTTTAAGTATTTGTATTGGCATTCATTGCAATGAAAAGGCTATTTTAATTTCAAATTTTAAACTGACTTTTCAATCCTTCCATGTAAAACTCTATCCAAACCATTTCCTTTTTTAATATGCGCACATTTCAGACGGAACCAGCTGGGTTATGGACAGTATTTGGTGCTAATATCAATGCATTTCTGTCCTGTTCTTTCTCAGGCCCTGCTGTACACTACAATCCAGAGTTTAACAAAAGGATCCCAGTTACAGGATTCGGTGGCTTAGACCTAACTGTTAATTGTAAGGGAGAGCATCTTTCCATAATGGGATGTAAATCCATTTTTAGAGTAACCTGCTACATTTATGTTTTTTCGGATCTGTTAAACAGTGAATAAACATTAACAGTGACGGGCATGAAACATCATTTTGACTTCCCTTTGTGTTAGATTATCCTCACATGATGGAAAAATGCTCTCTTCACTTCTTGAAATGTTTTTCAGATGGTTGGGTGCCAGCTTCTCTTTAATCGCACTTTCTCTTTCAGTGGATAAAAAGGCAGTACATTTATATCCTCTTGCTGCTCTTTCTGTTGGACATTGTGTGGCTTTTTTCCTACAACACTAAAGGTGTTCCTTCAGCTGGTGCTTTGTTTTCCGTGTGAAATGATCCCTGAATATGTTGACACATTTATAGCCTTTGCAGCTAAAACACAGTTTCTCTCTGTATGTATCAGTGTTTTAAGACATTGAAGATTAAGGGCTTAACAGAAGTTAGATATTATTGACATTAACAGTTTTAGATTTTTCTTTATTTTCTTGTAAATTCCTGGTAGTGTAATGAATGACTATCAAGTTAAGTAAAGCTGCACATAGCTGTCTTTGTCATCGTATTCATAGACTATATATGCATTGTCCACTGACTGTCTTGCACTAAATGACTTTTACTGCATCCTTCTTTCAAGCTAGACATGGTTTTCACCTGATGGCATTCTGTTTTTGTATGATAAAATACAAGTTAGAATTATATAAATAATTTTTAATCCCAATCTTACACATCAAAATTGCGTAAAAATATATGAATTTACATAAATCGTCTTAAACACAAATCTTTCCTTGAGCCATATCTTCTCTTAAGGATAAAAAATGCCTAACTTTTCATGTAAAAATTATATATTTTAATGATATATATATATATGTAACTATTATATCTGTGCATGTTTTACTGCACAAATTCTTGGTAAGAGGATGGCACATTTTAAAGAGACCATCTCTACTCGTGCCTTTCTCAAATGTAGATCACTGTAAGTGGTATTCGGTCATTCCTGTTTCCTGTTCTGATCTTAGTGGGGTCTTTTCTGCTCCCTTCCAAAGGTTTTGCTCATGTTTTTTTGTAAGCCATTTTTTAATGTTTCTGCTCTCGCCTTTAAGGTTCCAACATGCACCACAGCAACAGCAGCTTGTCAATGACGGCAGAAGAAGCCACCCGCGGTGTGGCTGTGGAAAAACTAGAGTATGTGAGGAAATGGGGTCTCAACACTTACAAGGTACCTGAGGCTTTGGAACTGAAAAATAACTGGAAATGTCATAATGGCTATAAAATAAATAAATAAACATTTTGGAGCCAGTGTTTATTACATGTGGCCCGGCCCTTTCTGTTTTAGTGCACAAAGCAAATGATCTCGGAGCGTTTTGGACGGGGTTCTCGGACAGTGGACCTGGAGTTGGAGGCTCAGATTGAGGTGCTGAGAGACACCAAGAGGAAATATGAGAACGTGCTTCGATTGGCCAGAGCCCTGACCAACCATTTCTACAACATGGTGCAGACGCAGCATGCGCTGGGTGACACCTTTGCGGACCTCAGCCAGAAATCTCCAGAGCTGCGGGTGAGATGTGAAAAGATACTCATCTCACATTTCTGCTGCCTTGTGTCATCTCTGGCTTTCTGGTGTCTACATGTGCTAGTTTTCATCCCGATGAGTAACGGTTGGCCTTCTTTACAGGATGAGTTTGGCTACAATGCAGAGACTCAGAAGCTGCTGTGTAAGAACGGGGAGACTTTACTTGGAGCCGTTAACTTCTTTGTGTCCAGCATCAACACATTAGTCAACAAGACTATGGAGGACACGCTAATGACGATCAAGATGTATGAAAATGCAAGGTCAGCACTCACAGGAAAGATGACCCAAGCATTGTTTTGTTTTGTTTGCTTTTTTCAGATTGTTTCTTTAAAATTTTTACACACTTATTCTGCTTAGCCACCAAGTGCTCTGCGATTAGGCTTTTCCCAGGCGTTGCTCCAGATAGAGGCTCTGGTGTCCCAGTAAAAAGGAATGAATGAATGAATTTGATCACAAATACAAGTGATTGATATGAGCTAGTTAGACGTAGGGTGAGAAGTTTTGCCATTTGGGAGGGGCCATACCAGCTGCACTTATAAAATACTTTAAAACAGCCACAGCTCAAAGTGCTGCACACAACTCAGTGCTAAAAACAGTAAGAAACTATAGTAAATAGGTAATCTATGACACTACATATTAAGACTACCAGGGGAGGATTTAAGGAGAGAAATATTTAGGCATCCATGCTTTAACCCCCCCCCCATAATCTGGATGGAATTGAAACCCCATTTGGTGGTTTGCCATGTGTGTTTCCAGCTGCTATAAACGGACATCCTCTGTGTATTGTACTGCAGTGGGCCTCGATGATGTCAAACCCAAGGTACAGATGTTCTGAGTGCAATCCTGACTGACACCATGGAGAGTTTTCGGGGAGACAGGGACATAAATTATCCGTTGTTGTTTGCCAGCCGCACAGTCCAACAGGCTGGACATTCACCATGCATGAAAAGCAGCAAATGACAGGGACCTTTAAAGACCTTGGCTTTGCTGTGGTGGTGTTGTTTAGAGCCAGAGCAGGAAGCAGTTTTCGGCTCATGTGGAACTGGAACAGCTTTTTATAGCTTTGGACAGAGTTTTTTTTATTTATTTGTTTTAATCTGTTTTCAGAGAAAAAGCTTACAAACAGGTAGTATTGTACTTTGTATGGTGGAAACCAGAAACATGGTTTTAAGATGACAGCTTCATCATATAACTGAGAGAAAGTGGTGATGTCATTGTGACTGCTGCCCCCAGGTGGAGCAAAGATTACTGCAGGTTAAGTTATTTATTCATTTCATGCATTACATAAAACAGAAAACTTTAAAAGCTTTTATTAATATAAGAAATGGTCAAATGGGATTTTGTCAAATAGTGAGAAAATCAACCCTGCCTCTTTCAGTGTCGAGTTGAGAGTGATGATGTCAGCTGTTTGCTGTCCTTTTTTGAAAGCAACTATCCAATATGCAGAATTGAACATAATTAAAAAATTTGTTTTAAAGGATCATAATATAATTAAGAACAGTGTGTGGTGTTTTTAGCACGCAGTTCCCAAATTGATGGTTAAAGCAATAGAAGCTCTCTTCCATGTCCAAAAATGTGGTTATTTAATGCCTGACTGTGGAGTTATAATTATGTTAGATCTTTAAATAGCCTGTTCTTGTTTCTCTCATCTGTGTGCCTCCCACTCCTTTGCGGGCAGACTGGAGTTTGATGCTTACCGGTCAGACCTTGAAGAGCTGAGCCTGGGTCCAAGGGATGCTGTAACCATGGCACGTATAGATGCTGCTCAGCAGCAGTACCAAGTCCACAAGGAGAAGTACGAACGTCTTCGCTCCGATGTGACCATTAAACTCAAGTTTCTTGAGGAGAATAAGGTTAGCCTGGGTTTTTTTGTGTGTGTTTGTGTTGCATAAAGATTCCGTTTTAAAACGTAACCGTGGGGCTTCCTGGTCTTTTTCCTCTCAGGTGAAGGTGATGCACAAGCAGCTCCTCCTCTTCCATAATGCCATCTCAGCATACTTTGCCGGAAATCAGCAGCAGCTGGAGCAAACGCTGAAGCAGTTCAACATAAAGTTGAGGCCCCCGGGGGCCGACAAGCCCTCCTGGTTAGAGGAGCAATGAGCAGCCGTACTGGGCGTCCTTCAGCTTCTGTCTCAACCACCTCCACCTGTTACCTGTTGAAACCCCCAACTTAAAGAGGACCACTTCGGAGAGAAAAACACTGTCAGTGTGGTGGGAGAAGACGTGAGATGTGGCTGGATGACTGGACTGGTGTATCACAGGGTTTGATTGGTAAATGGGCTACATGCAACAGGAAACCAAGTGGCCAGTTTTCTGAACATTCAGGGGGCTGTTAGTGCCTCTTTCCCCCAACTTCCTCTCTCTACTTCAACCTCTCTTTGTGCTATGGTCCCAGACGAACTGTTCACCTGTCCCTCCCCTCTCCTCTACTTTACTCAGCCGCTTTCCTTTCCCTATCTTAACACTACTTTGCTGTGTGAGCTTGTGTTAGTCATGGTAATTGCCATTATTGTACTCCAAAAGTGCTCCCAGTGATCTGAGGTAAACTTAACCCGCACTCCATCTTGGCATCAGAGGCTGGTGGGGAAACAAGGAAAATGGTACAACCATGTAAACACAGATGTAACTAAACACTACTAACCCTCATCACTCTCCCAGTGTGCCTCCTTATTTTTTAGCTCCCACGCTGAATGAACATGTGGCCTGCAGGATAATAGGAAATTCAGTCAAATGAGAGAGCAGTGGAACATGGAATGTCCAGACATTTCAAATCATTGTAACATTCAAATGAAGTGCTGTTTCACTCTGGAAATGAATATCAAATGATTGTTTGGTAACAAAACACACATTGTTTAGTTTTGAGTACTGTAACATGTCATCTCTACATTTTCCACTAGGTTTCCTTTGGGTGGGCTGTACTGTACGTCTGTGTGATATAGGCTGGTGTTGTGGACTGCGAGCACCCCGGTGCACAACAGACTTTACTTACAAAACATTCTTAGACTCTGTTTCGTATATGCAACAATCATTTAAGGAACACTGCCACAGCTTCCAAAACTACTTCTCCGGATCTATACTACCGGTAATTACATTTTATATACCCAAAGAGAAAAGATAGAGATGTTGATTGGATGTGAGCTTTTGGCTTGTTTACATGGGCTTTTAAGCAACCCTGAAAGGTTAAGTGTCTCTGTGGACAGCACCCATGCCCTGAAAGGTGGGTATGTCGGTCAAGATACAGCAAACTTGACTCATTTCACTCCACTTTTTTTTTAACCGTCAATGAAATGTGTCAAATAGAAAATCGAAGCTTTTTTTTCGTTTTGTTTCTTTAAAGTGACACCTAAAATTTTCTTTGTCTGAAGTTTGCGTAAAGGTAACAAATGTATGTCAGTGACATCGAGCGTTACATCTTTCAGTCCGAAAAAAATGCGAATTTATCATTTTATAGTTACCTTTTCTTCACACTGAAGATTACCTTAGCGACATTCTACTACTAATTTCTATATTTCAGTATAAAATCTTGTGTAGTTGTCCTGGAGAGTGATGGCGCCAGTTTTGAGCAATCATCCATGATTGGCAATTAAGAGGCATCGTAGTACATATATGTATGTATTGTTGAATTTTTGTGTCTCTGTTTATGTTCAAAATGTGTCAATCAGCTTAAATCAGCAAAATCACATCAGAAAAAAACACATGAAATTTTCATTAGTTATGGAGTCAATCCTCCAGCTTCTTGTCTCCGTATTTGCATGGCAGCCAGTAGATGTTTGTGCTTCACTTCGGCTCACACGGGCCATGATAATTCCATTCTTTGGGTTGGTTTTTGAAAAGAGATTTTCTTAGTGTTTAAACTGGCAGAACCAGAATCCAAAATGTGGGTTTCCTTTTCATGTTGCATTCTTAAGGACAACAATAAGAACGGTTAACCGGTTTGGTTTGACGTAAAGAAGGCACTCTAAGACCTTTCATGTCCGTTTACTGGCCAAGTCCTGGTCGATTTGACCACAACAAAGCAATATTAACAAAATGTGATTCCTCTTTCCAAACCTCACCCAATGTTTCGATTAAATGGCAATATCCTCTATTTTCTTTCCCAAAATTGTGAAACTTGATGTAAATTCTGGTATAAGATACTATCTTAGAAGAGGTCTATCTTAGGTTGTGTCCAAGAGATGAGCACGATTTCTAAAATGAGATACTTTATTTGTGTACAATCAAATGTTTTCTAGGCTGAATTGTGCTGTACTGAATGAATGATTGCACAAAAGGTATTTATGATGATAAAAGAAGTTGTGTAATAGATTTATGTGATACTCTGCTTTCGTTTGTCACTGACCTGAAAATCCCACCCCACCCCAAGGTGGCAAAATTAAAACTACACATTTTCAAATGGTCTGCCTCTATTTGATCATTTACACACACACACACACATATGTATATATATTTGGATTCCATTTTTATTTTGGAAAGGTAACTTATGTGTACCCTGATTTTGATAATCTGATTGTCCCGCTCCAGGATGTGAATATGAAATTAGCCAAGAATTATTAAGATCTCAATAAGATATACACAATATGATACTCTGCTCATCACAAAAATATGACACATTCTAAACAGGAATCCAGTACAATGTGCCCAATACAGCAAATATAAAACTTTCCATGTTTTTTGTGAACAGAATGAAAAAAAACGAACCTATGTCACCTTTAGATTGTTAGAAAAAAGACACTTTGAAGGAACATTTTTTTAAATTTATAATTTTTCATATATCATACATATCAAATTACTTATTATATGATAAAAGATCTGAGAGGTAATTAGAGTTTTTAGGCATTAAAGGTACAAAACAGAGTCGTTCTGTTGGAGCATCTCGGGCCGCCCCTCCCTCAGAGGGTGTGTCCCTACCTGGACTCAGGCTGGAACGTGATTGGCGGAGGCCCCGGCACACCTGTGCGCGCGGCCGCGGCCCGCACAGACTGACGGAGTATGATATCCCACAGGAGCGCCACGCCACACCGGAGCCCAGTTCTATGTGACAGCGAGCTAAGCTTTTCTAAAAGGTGAGCCGTGAGTAAGCAGAATCATGGTCTTTGTTTGTCTGCTTTAATCGTAGGTTGAGTTGTGGAGCTTTTAGTGGAGCTGTAAGCCCTTAAAGGCGAGTCTCTGGCGTGTCGGATATGTGTGTGATGAGCTATCAGGCTTTGGTTAAAAATACGTATATCTAAGTCTGACCTGGTAAATGTTTACCCAAAATCTTTCCAAAATGCACGGGAGGCGTTTAGGTTAAGGAAAAAGACTATAACACAAACCAGAGAAAAAAAAGAAGAAAAAAAGATCAGTTCTACTGAACTAACTAGTGTCGACATTTTTGTTTTAAGAAATTTGTGCCAATAAAAAGTTTCATAACTTTTGTCACGAATAATGCATTCAAATATAAGGGATTTTTTTTTATATATAGTTATTATTATAAATGAGGTAGGAAGTAAAGCCACTGTTAAAGTTTAAGCAGTTGTTGACAAATGGCTGACTGACAGAATGCCAGAGGCCACTCAAAATAGATTTAAGATGATCAAATAACAATTGCAAAGCTAGACCAGGAATCATTTTACCTTTTTATTCATTTTTATCAATTTAAACTTGCTTATGTTCTCTTTGTGGCAAGTAACAAAACTTTGAGGAAATCCCTGATTTAGCCTGTAATGCTGATTCTGAGCTATGCGGCTAAATGGCTTGTTATGTGTAAATTCAGTGGATTTAATGCAGGTTTTTCTATCTCCTTAGATCCGAGCGGTCAGCAGCAGGGAACTTCGAGTTTCACGCACACAGATGGAGGCTGTGCTGATTTTAAAATCAGCTTCTCCACTCAAACTTTCACCTGAAGACTCTTCTCCTCTTTTGCCACTGGATGCAAAGGAAGACTCAGACACCCGGTCACCTTCTGTGGGTCCAGCCATGCATGTTACAGCTGCACCACCACCTCCACCTCCTCCTCCTCCTCCTCCTCCTCCTCCTCCTCCTCCTCCTGCCTCGTCTCCTTTCGGCTCTCGGGATGTCCAGAGACGTTCCATGAAGAAGCTGAACTGGGACACCATTCCCAGTCAGCATGTGGTTGGAAAGCTGAATGTGTGGACTTCCCAGCGGCCGCAGAGGGACCTGGTCCTGGACATTCGCTCCATGGAGGAGCTGTTCAGTCACGTTGATAAACGGACGTCGTCGCTGCGCAGATCGAGGAACACCAGTCTGAAGAATTGCGAAAACGTGGACCTCCTTTCACAGGAGCCCCGGGTAAGAAAACCTCTTTGGAAATGACGAATGGTGATTTCCAGTAATGAGTATGATTTCCGTGTGAAGAGTACAAAAGCGAGGGAAGTATTAAACACACAGATAGGAACTATTTTTTTTTAGAATGTAGCACTGTTAACCTGTTATCTAAGAGGAACTGTGGAAATTAACGTGCTGAAGGTTTAGCTTCCCCCAAAAATAAGCTGATACACTAAAATTTGGACTTGTCTCCTCATCTAAATGTGACTATAAAAAAAATTAAAAAACGTAAAAACTTTATTGACTGTTCAACTTTGTGTTTTTTGTTTTGTGTTTAGGTCACGATTCTGGACTCCAAGAGGAGCATGAACATTGCAATCTTCCTGAAACATTTTAAGAGGTAATGCTACATCTAAAGTAGTGACGGGGGTGTGGATGAATGTGACAACACTGCATAACAACACGTTGAGTTCTTGATGACTAAAGCAGTGGTCAGAAGTGGATGTTTCATGTATGTGCACTTCCACTGTGCTAATCATTACCCAACCTGGAGGCTTTATCTAAGCTGAACACATGCAAATAAATCGTAATACAATTGACAACACTGAGGAGCTGTTAGCAGTTTTTGTTTCAACGTTGAAGCCCCCGCCGATTCATTCTTCTCCAGTATAGAGCATACTATTGACCATGTGAAATATGTTGAGGTTCAGGTTAATGAGCATCTACCTGACCGGTCTGATAACATTTAAAGCAAAGGTAAGAAAAGCTGCAGAAATACTGGAGTAGTCTGTTTCTTTAGTTCAGATTATGTTTTGCATTAATACAGACATTTTTTAGGGCATAATTCCTATTTATGTTCCTTACTGAAATTTCTACAAATTCATAAGACTCTACCATACACATCCTCGCCAGTACAGGACTGAAGTTTGATTTTTGCAAGATGATTTCACACATGATTGGGTTTTCACACATTCTGTGAAAAAGCTGTGTGCACAATCCAAATTTAATTTCACAATTGGAGCCAGTTTCAGTGTCGGCACCTTATCAGGCTGTTCGGTTCAGTCCACTTTTTTCACTCGACTTCCAATTTGAATATCAAATGCAGCCTGATTGCCTGTTAACAATTTAAATAAAGTGGCGGTGTCTTCTTAGTATCTCGGTTAAACTGAAACTGTGTCCTGTGCTGTGTGATAATATTTTAATTCAGCATGTTATGTGCTTTGTTTTGTGAAAATATCAAGCTTGTTGAACAAATATGCCTGTCATGAGATGATATGATTCCTGCTAGCAGCAATAACAACTCATAATAAAAGCTTTCTTTTCACTTCATGACATTCTAGCAAACCCAATAAGTCGACTAAATGCCCTCACAGCCCTCTCTGCTCTAGAGTAAAAAAACACTCCACTTTTTTGCTTATTTTGCTGCATAAAGTTTCATACTGAAAGGCATTCATGTCTTTATCCAAATTGACCAGAATCCAAAATGACCAGAACCCTGCTGTAATACCTCTGCTGTCGTAGTTTTACTGTGAGGCAGGTGTCCGCTCAGCACTGAAATGCAAAATCCTCAGTTCAGCCAGCTGTCCACTTAACAGGACATGAAGTTCCTGTAAGTCAGAGGCAGCACTTAGTGCGTCCCTTTCAGCTTGTTGTCATGTCTGTCTTTGTCTCCCTCTGCAGGCCAGTGAAGGAAGTAGTGGAGGATATTTGTCAAGGGAACTGGCTCAGATTTGGATCAGGCAAACTGAAAGAGCTTTGTAAACTGCTGCCAGAGGAAAGTGAGGTAAATGTAGCTCTGTTGATATATAAGTTATGTTTTTAGCTTTTTTTCACCTAAATACCGGTATTATTCAAGGCTGCCAACTTGCCAATCATTTTTTGACACATATTTGTCACACATTTGACACTTCTCTCAAGCTCTTAATGACTGTGCTAACCTTCCTGCAGTGAAAATAGATCATTAACTGTTAATGAGGCAGCATGAAAGGAAGAGACTAAGAGAGAACTATGCTATAGACAGGAAAATACTAACAATAAGTTAGTTTTTTTCTAACACCAACAAGAGGGAACTAAAACATCAAACTAATCATTGAGTCATCCTCACGTCCGCCTGTAGGTGAAGCAGCTGCTGGCGTTCAGAGGGAAGCTCGCCGCGCTGCCCGAGGCTGACCAGTTCATGGTCCAGCTGGTCAAAGTGTCAGGGTGAGAGTGCAGGTGTTCATGTGACGTTTCGTCATACTTTACATTTCCATGTTATCTCTATTAGAATTCCATGAAGATCTGATAGAGCAACATATGGCTAAAGTCATTTGAACGTGCATCTGGATGAGTTGTGTTGAGCATATTCCCCAGCAGCTGTTTGGTGGTGTTTATCTTTCAGCTATGAGGAACGCCTGAAAACGATGGTCCTGAGGGAGGAATTTTTTCCTCTCATGGAAGAAGTGAAGAACTCCGTTGGTGTCATGACAAAAGCAGCAAATGGTAACATTTGACATGATTTTGACATCATAAGGTACTCTGTCTCTATATCTTCTTTATCTTCTTAATCTTCTTCTCTGACTCCAGAGCTGTTGGACTGTGATGACCTCCACTCAGTCATTCGGCTGGTATTAAAAGCTGGGAATTACATGAATGCTGTTAGTATTCCTCTTGCACAATCATACTTCCATTGCCTCTTCTAATGGAGCTTTTTTATTCTGCCTTTGTCAACGGATGAATAAACTATTTCAATGCATTGTTCCTCAGGGGGGATACAGTGCCAACGCCATTGGCTTCAGAATGACTTCCCTGCTTAAGCTGGCAGACACCAAGGCCAACAAGCCCGGCATGAACCTCATGCACTACGTAGCCAAGGTGAGGAGCCCAGAAAATGACACATTCTTCCTTAGGAAAACATGTTTCAAAGGTCAAGAGCCTCTGCCATCATGGAATGTCACCTAGAAGTTATTTTAGTTGATATTTTTGCTGGGACCATGCTGAGTACTGAGAGTAGTCATGATGTCATGTAGCTGACTTTTTGTTCAGCTCCATTTTAATTACTCCCCCTACTTTTTCTGCCCTCAGCAAGCAGAAGACATCGATGCCGAGCTGCTGACTTTTCCCAAGCAGCTCGAGCACATTGGAATGGCATCAAGGTGGCCGTCGTTTTGAAAATGCAAATCTAAAGCAGATTCAGTGTTCGTCTAACACAAACATTTTCTCATGCGGTTTCTAAATGTTTTGACAGAATTTGTAAAGACGAGGTAATCATAGACTTTGAGGGGGCCATCAGAAAGATTAAAGAGGTGAAACTGTTCTGCTACACACAGCCTGGACTCCTACAGCAAATAGATACGTTCCTCATGGTGAATACTCTTTACACGTTTTCAAAAGCTGAACTGTTTGCTATCATCCGCTGCTGGAAATCCCCCTCCTGTGCTTTTTTATTTTTCCGTTTCAGAGGGCCGAAGCAAGGCTGGCAGACATGGAGCAGTCTCTGCAGGAGCTCAGTGCTGTGATCCACGCTGTTGCCGAGTACTTCTGTGAGGACCCGGCAACCTTTAAACTGGAGGAGTGCTGCTCTATCTTTCATTCATTTTGCAAGCGCTTTGACACAGCCGTCCAGGTAAGAAGAGACATGACCTGTAACAAATGTTAAGTGTGTCGCTATCCATTCAGCACATTCATTTAAGTTAAAAGAACTTTATATGATCTTTTTTATTAACTCATTGACTGCCAGCCATTTTCAGAACAGAGAGTCCCACACTGCTAGAGTTTTTTGAGCATTTTGACTGATATTTCAAGACCCACAGAATAGTTTGTGCTATGACTATGTAAACACCGAACACACCAAAAGAAAGAGTAGACTCTTTTCTTTCATCAGGAAAAAGAAATATGTTTCTACCTTATTCCGTTCTTCCTCGAAGGTGCGTCTCACCGGCGCCATTTTTCGCATAGCGAACCATTGCGTTTTTTTTGCCTACAACCTATGCTCATCTCCCATCAAAAGTGGCACAGCCACCTAGAGGGTCAATTTGTTAGTCCATACTCTGTCTAGAAGCCGATATTTACGGAAAAGCTTTAGCCGATCGTCCACCAAGCCACTCGTTGAAAAACATAAAAGACGTCTATAGACGTCTTTGGCAGCGAACAGTTGTATTTGAATTGACGTCTATAGACGTCTTTGGCAGCCAATGAGTTAAAGAGATCTGCCCTCCTGCAATGTTGTACTTTTCCTAAATGTATCCTCTCTTTACATGAAGGAAAACCGAGAGCGAGAGGCAGCCGAACAGAGACACAAGCGGACAGAGAGCATGCGTGTGGCAGCCAAACGCCGCTCCACCGTCTCCTGCACAGGACTCCAGCCCACTGAGGATTCCTCAGGTTTGGAGTCGGCGCTGACCAGCCTTCTGTCCTCCGTCCCAGGCGGTTTGGTCAGATGCAGGAAGAGCACTCTTCCCCCGGAACCATCGCTCTCCAAACGCAGGTCTCAGACCGCCGAAAAAGCCGAGGCCCCGTGTCCCGCCGGCAAGGAGAGCGCAGAGAAAAACCAGCCCGAACTCCAGAGCGGGGACGAGCAACGGGCCAACCCGGAGAACAAGGAAGCGGAGAGGATGCGGGAGGTAACCCGGAAGGTGCTGGACTACCAGCAGGGCAAAGGCGGCCAGGACCAGGACGGAGATTCCAACGGAGAGCCAGAGAAACAAGCCACCCCGAGCACACCCCGGCCCAGAACCAGAGACTTTTTCTTCGCCAGCAACGGAGACGTGGGTTCTCCGTGGACCATTCTGAGCCCGGTCACCTCCGCCCAGAGAAACAACCCGCTGCGAAACAGACACGCCCGCAAACACAGAACTTCGTCACAGTCCACGGGGAGAGAGCTCACTGACGGAGTGTGGGACGGCGATGATGGCGGCAGACGGGACGGTCTCACGTCCCCCTCCGGGGGCTCCGCGTCTCTGCCCGAGTGCCTCCGCCTCAACGTCCTGTCCCAGGGCCCGGTGGTCAGGTCCGCCTCGGTGGACGAAACGTTTCGATCCCCCGTCGGCGGTTTCCGATTCGGAGACTTGTTCAACAGGAACGCATCGCAGAGATCTTACTCCTCCGGCTCAAGGACACCCAACGCCAGAGAGGATTTGAGCGGCAGCACAGCGGGGGGGCGCATAGAGCGGCAGGTCAGCGCGTCCGGATTCATATCCTTCTTCAGACGCATCGGAGGCCGAAATAAGGCCGGTGACTGGGAGGAGCAAAGCTTCAAAGGATCTAATACCTAACCAACCCCCACCCCCACCCCCAAACAGAGCTTAAGCTTTGTCTTAATTTTATATTTATTTTACATATTTACAAGCTGTTTGTCTTTTTCGCTGTTTCTCTTTTTAAATGTCACATTTTAGTCCCTTCACTGGAAACAAGGCAATTGTGGACTTGCTTTGAACTTTTGAAGGGTTTTGTTTTTTTCGGTGGTGACACCACATCCAAAAATCTTTTTATTGTTTTTTTTTTTTTTTTGTCCTTTTTTATGTATACAATAAATAGAAGTATTCTACTTTTGAAATAAATTTATCAGTAATGGGAGTCAGGTCTAAAGTGTTTATAGCTGCTTTCAGGCTCCCCTCTTGAAACCGGTGGAAGCTTGCCAGGAGGTAATGTCTCAGATTCCACTACTTGCCTTTCACCTCATCTATAATTTCTGCTCTTTGCAGTTTATGTAGACAGTCCCAAGTAGCACAATAGGGTTTGCTTGTTTCTTGTTGGGCACTTATCTCAGACATGAGGGACATTTAAAAATGTGATGGCAATCCTTTTAAAAGGTAACCCTCAGCTATATCATTTACATTTCACACATGGAGCTGGTGACCTTATCCTTTTGGAGGTTGAGGGCACATTGCCGGTGATGAGCTCACTCCACCCCGGTGTCTTCCGATGACATTTTGTAAAACAAAAACAAAAGGGACATTCAGCTCCGTTACTTGGACAACGTGCTTTGTTTACAGCCATTCCATCTGAACTCTGGTGGTGTAATAATCCTCTCTTTAACAAACGGATTAATGAAGGCTCCTCTCTGGCTGTTCTGTTGTCCTCCCAGATTCATCCCTCCCACTGGCAACGGCTCACTGGAGACATTTGCAGTTGCTTGGCATTTCAGATCAGTGGGGTAAAATGAAGAGAATGGACAGAAAAAGTGTTTGGAAAGATGTAGTATATGATGTGTATGATTGTTTTTTCAGCACTGAACAAGATAACTATTTTTAATGCATTTTAATGCAATGAAAGAGTCAGAATCTCAAAGCACGACTGAAGCAAAGCACTACGTCAGCAGCAACTGACCTGTTTGATGTCAAATGAGAACTCCGGAGCACAATTAGGCCATTGTGAAAGAAAAAAATGTCCACAGTGGAGGACCATCTCATGTGAGTCAACTCCTTAGGACTGGAGGTGGCTAACTGTTTCACTCTTACTGAGGCGGTGCTAATGAACTGTGCTTTCAGAGTTTAGTGTGTCCCAGTGAAAGATGAGAATCAGGCATGAATTGAGAGAAGAGAGGAGGTGGGGTGGGAGACATTTGGACCCAGTTGGGGAGGGAGGGAGGCTTGCAAGCCATATTGTACAGAGGCATTTGTACTGAGGGGGCATGTGAAAGGAAAGCAGGCCAGATGGTGGAGGAAATGCTCAATAAGAACATAGAGAAAAGCCGAGACTGAGAAGGAGCAGAAGGAGGACCGTGACGAAAAAGTGATCTGTCTGGATGGTTTTCTGCAAGGATTTGCATCTGGAGCGAAAAGGTAGGATCTATTAACTGGTGGAGCATACTTAAAATGTGCATGATAACTGACAAATTTAAAACTATGCTAAAAAAGAACTCATTCTTACCATGCTCCTTTTTTTACTCATCTTGATGTGAAAAATTCCTACTGGAATTGCATCCCGAGCTCCATGGTAGAGCAAAACATTGCATGTGTGAGAGTTGCTAGTTTAAGGTAATTTACTGCACCAGCTGTAGGGATTATGCTGTTCACAAGTGTAATCAGATTTGTGGTTGGACAGGAAAAGCATAAGGAATCTGGTCATCAATGCAGTGAGCTGTATTTCCAAAGCTGGGTCAGACGGGCCTCTGAGTGGGAATATCTTTTTAAATGATCAGAGTCACACACAGGAGCGTGAATTGAAGGCATTTGGGAAGAAAGAGCAGAAAAAAGGGAATATCTAAAGAAAAATTACTTGCATAGTAAATAAGGAACAGGAAATAAATACCAAAAGCAAAATTTCTTTATTTTCCATCATATGTTTTATGCTTGTGACTAATCATTACCTGCCGTTCAATACTTAAAAACAAAAATTAAGGAAGTTTTACTAGTTTGCCCTGTTTTTCTTCTTGCTCCTAAATACCACAGCCAAAATGCAGTTGACATTAATTGTTTGAATTTAAAAAAACTGTTTAAATCAGAGTAATAATGAACCTTTGGAGATTTAATAGGTCTCACTTGAAAGCAAAATATCTCGGCCAATACTAAGAAATTCATTGTCATCTGTGTTTCTTTGAGGATTTTAAAAAGTCTTAAAGTGTCTGGTCACAATAACAGAACTGACCCCGACGTGATTTGAACACGCAACCTTCTGATCTGGAGTCAGACGCGCTACCGTTGCGCCACGAGGTCGTGACGACGATACCAAAAAATAATTAGACTATACCAGGACCAGGTGTGTGGCGATACATTGATGTCTAATTGACTACTTCCACGCACGGGTTGTGAAGGTACCGCATTTCTTGCTTTTCAAATTTATATATTTATGAAAAAAAACTATATTAGATTTTTGTTTAATTTTATCGACATTGAAATATATTCAATGCTGAATACAGATTCCCATGGGTGGTGTTTTGGGTGATTTTTACGCGGAGTCACTAGATGGTGTAAGTTAGCTAAAATTTATGTTCAGCACTGGTCCTTTCACAGAGTCCCTTCAAATACGATGAGTTTTTAAAAGATTCTGCAAATATAACCACGTTTGCTTGTATTCTCATTTGTTGATGGCACGCATTTTCTTTCTCAGGGAAAGAAGAGGAACGCCGAACGTCTCCTCCAGCAAACCTCCATTAGTAGCCGACTTGCTCTTTACAAAATGGATGGGTAAGAGCACACAAAAGAGTTGAGCTCATTGCACACTTTTTGCAGGCTGCATTTTGGCTTTGAGCAAAGTGCCACCAAGCAAATCGCGAACAGCCTTGATAGCCTTTGCAGAACCCCTTAAGTGTTCGGTTTCTGGATCTGTTCTCACCTCTGTAACATAAAGCAGTCATCACTCCCTCTGACGTCAGGTTTGCTCAGTGTGCTGATGTCAAGGTCCTGCCCCCTGTCCTGTCCTCCTCTGCTGCAGCCACTCACATTAAGATACAGGCTGCTCTGTGTCTGCTGATGAAATGGGTTTCAGCACCAGGGACCTGGAGCTGCAGGGCCCATTGATAAGCCGGGTGAACCTACAATAACAGCAAAACGTTTTTCCCTGCAAGAAACTGCAGCTGACTGATACCCAGGCAGGAGGAGAGGGCTGTGAGATTTGAAAAGACAAACCTGTTGAGCTCACTAGGTTGTAATACTACTGGATACTACGCTTGATATCTCACTAATACTTTTTTTCTCCCCCCGTGAGCTGCTTTTTTAAAATGTAGATCAAATTACCCCTATAAGGCCGCTATAATGCACACACAAATACGCCCCTTCGGGAAAAATCTGATGTTCCCATCAAATAATCCCACAAATGAAAATCAGTCGTGTTCCTGTTTCCTGAAACTGTAATTTACAAGTATTTGTAAATTACTTTTATTTTTGGACATAAAATACAGGATGGACTTTAGACATCAACATGATTCATGTTCTTAGAGTGATTGATATAGAAATTGTCTCTGATTCACTGCTGTGGAGGCCACAGCTTTAACAATTCTTGGGCTATTCTCTGAAAGGAAATAAAAGGAGAAAGCTTCAAAGCCACATACTAGTAGTTTAACAATGCAGCCAATGGAAGTTTTTCTTAGCCAGGTCTGTCACAGTTAAGACACAGTAACACATTTAAACCTTTTCCCGCTTGGCGAAACTATCAACTATTGTGTGTATCCCTTTATTGTTGATGTTCACTCACTTGAACATAAAGCAATGCTATGCCTGTTTGGAAGGAACGTGTACAGTCTGTTAACTTGAGATCTTCCTTTTACGACAAAAAGATCCACGTGGGCTGAGTTAAGGTTGACATATTGTGTGTTTATATTGCTTTAGCTGCTCAGGCAGAGACATGGCTTCCATTTTGGTGCACATTCAAATGCAGACCATGTACACTACAGGGCTGCAAGCACAATCAGTTTGTTGTGACTGGCTTGTGGGAAAAAATACCCCTCTCTTTTGTGGTATGTATAAGTAAGAAAGATATTACATAATCACTAATCATTTTCCAGTTATACCACACAAAAGCCTTCTCCCTGCTTTGAAAAATGGAGTCTGCTCTCTGAGTCAGAGGACTGTGTCCTGTAGGACTTCTTTTTCCTGCAAATTTACAAAGATAAGCCTCAGTCAATTACAGGTTGGGGATGAGAGGCTAGTTGGACTGTTTCAGAGAGAGCTAGAGAGGGAGGGGGGACAGCCATCTGGGTATTCTGCTACACTGGATGCAGTTTCCATGGCAACAAGGTGCTCCCGCAGCAAAATTATGAGAAGGCTGCTCCCCACCCCCATTCACATGCACAGAGGCATTCCAAACACACTTTCAAGAACAAGGATAATGATCATGTCTCACTTTTCCAAATATGCTTGAGTCTTTTAAAAGAATGTTTTCTCAGTTTTTCTGGAAAATTATTTGAAATCATTTCAGTTTAGAATATTATCTACATAGCACTAAAGATTGTCAAAACACCCAAAGACATGTTTAGAACCATAATGTCAATCTCTTGCTTTTCACTTCTCATCTATCATATTGCTCTGCCTCAATTTTTTTCTGTACTTCTGCATCACTGCATCACCTGTACACACCGAGCTCCATCCTTGTCGCTCCTGCAAACCGTCAGTTATTGGAGTTCTCCACAGGATATGGTGATTTATCTGTCTCGTTCCTCCTATCAGCTCCCCTGCACCAACAGGGGAGCTAATAGATCTTCTGTTTATCACACATGGGTGACAGTCTAAAATGGATCACTTCCTACTTTCTGTTTGAAACTTTGGGTATTTGTCATCACCCCTACACATGCAATAAAAAAAAACAGATTGAGGAGATGTAAAGGAGGGGGAAAGGAAAAAA